CAACAGACACCTGCTCTGTACAGAATGCTGGGTGGCACGGAGGACACAGTGTTCCCCTCAGGAGACCACATTCTACTGCGGGTGACAGTGGACGTGCCAAGGGACTCTTGCTACCCAGCGTGGTGGGCGCTGAAACAGCACGAACAGCGCATTTCCCTCAGGAAACCAAAGCCCCCGCCAGCTCCACCTTACCTCTTTCCCTTAATTTTTAGGAACCAAGCTAAATTGGGATCTGTCTTAACACTTCTATTTAGATTTTTCTAAAAATTAAACGGTCTGACTCAGGCTGTAGGAGGAAGGAAGAGGAAACAGAGCAGTCATTGCAGATAAGCCCCCCCCCTCCCCCAGGGATGCCTTTCTCAAGGCTCAGACTCTGTTTCTTTGAGCCTTCCCCCTGGGGGGCGGGTTGGGACATCATGATGCAGTGTTCTTTTCATTAAAAGGGCCAAACCTCTAACACAGTGTTCCTAGCTATCCATCAACTCTGCGTGCCACCTCTGGCAACTCGCTCATTCTCGAAACCATGTAGATCTCTCCTGGCTCTGGTATTCTACCATCCTGGGTGCATCGCAAACCAAAATAGACTGTCACAGAGAAGAAAGAGAGGGAATCGATGCCTGATTAGGACATAGAAAACATTATATTAGTGTAATGAACAATATTGTTACACTAATATCAAAATGGTGGCAGTGGCCATGAGGGGAGAATTTTCCACCAACTCCTCTGCGTGCAGACATTTAAGTTGCCCAGACGATTGGCCAGCACACAGAAACACCTGTTTGAAATGAGAGGCAAGCCAGCACGCATGGTATGTTGAATGAATCGCAGTGAGGTAGAAATTACTTCACTGTTGTTGTTGTTTGGATTTACCCCCAGAGTTATCAGGATTTTTTTGGTTCACTATTGCTTCTTACATTTCAGTTTTCCATTCCTCTAGCATTACATCACTGATGAACTTTCAATAAACTTCTATCAATGTGTAACTCTCACATTTTTCTAACAAATGTCAGTCACATCAGTATGTAAATAGGCTTAACTTATCCATTAAATTATACTTAAAGGAGTGTTGAATGATTAAAAAGAAAGAAATAGACAAAAATATGTTAGTAAATTGAAATAATAAGAAAGCAGTGATCCTCTTATCAGAGAAAGTAAAATTCAAACCCCAAAGCATTAAACATGACAAAGAATTGCTCTTTTTAATACTAAAAGCTAGAGTTTACAATGAAAATATAACAATCATGAAAATCTAAGCAGGAAATAGCACAAGAACCAAACTTATGAAGCAAAGACTGCAGATAATGCAAGAACACATACACAGAAACACATTTACAATAGGAAACTTTTGTACACTGTTCTCATAAAAGATTAAGGGGATAAGATATAAGTAAGGAGAGAGGAGACCTAAACAACATAATTAATAAGATAGATACTATAAATATACACTAAGTACCCTTTATATCTTGATAGTAGAGAATACATCTTTTTCTCAAATGCTCATGGAATATCTACATAATTGATTATATATTAGGTCAAAAGAAAATGTAAGTCAATTTCAAAGTCTAACTATTAAAACAGTACTCGCTGATCACAGTACAATAAAACTAGAAATTAACAGAAACAAAGAGAAAAGGCCCTACCTTTTTTTTTTTTTTACCCTCACCCGAGGACATTTTTCCATTTTTTGTTCAGATAGAGCGAGAGGGAGAGAGAGCAAGAGAAAGAGAGAGAAACATCGATGTGAAGGGACACATCGAGTGGCTGCCACCCGCACAACCAACCAGGGCCGGGGACAAACTGCAACTGAGGTACGTGCCCTTAGCGGGAACCGAACCCGGGTCTCTCTGTACCGCAGGCCGACGCTCCAACCGCTGAGCCAAACCGGCCAGGGCAAGGCCCTACCTTTTAAGAAAACATTTTATTAGACAATTTTTGGATAAAAAGGAAGTACAAACTAAAACTATAGAATTTATGAAAAATAATGTTAATTAAAACACCACGTATAAAAATCTATGGAATATGTTTAAAGGAGCAGAGCACTAAACACTTACTGGCAAAATAAAAAAAAATTTTTAAATTGCTCAGTTCTAAAACCTAAAAAAAGGCCCTGGCCGGTTTGGCTCTGCGGTTAGAGCGTCAGCCTGCGGTCCGGAGAGACCCGGGATCGGTTCCCGCTAAGGGCACGTACTTCGGTAGCAGTTTGTCCCCGGCCCTGGTTGGTCGTGCGGGTGGCAGCCACTCGATGTGTCCCTTTCACATCGATGTTTCTCTCTCTCTTCCTCTCTCTCCCTCCCGCTCTGTCTGTACAAAAAATGGAAAAATGTCCTCGGGTGAGGATTAAAAATAAATAAATAAATAAAACCTAAAAAAAGGGCAACAAAGTGAACTATAAGAAAGCATAAAGAAGGAAATATTGATGATAAAAACAAAATAAAGAGGTATAGGATGAAAATACAGTGGAGTTAATTAATTTATTAAAACTCTGGATTTTGGAAAAAATTTATGAACTAGTTTACCTGATCAACAAGGGGGGAAAAGTATGAATTTACAAAATAAGAAATTAGAAGAAGGAAATAGCAATGAAAACAAATAGTATTTTTTAAATCACAAGATAATTTGAAGACTTCTATGCAAATACATTTGAAAACACATAAGTAATAGATAATTTTCTAGGAAATGTAGATTGCTAAACTTGGTCCCATTTGATTAAGAAAGCTGAAATTAATCACTTTTCCTGGGAAAAAAAGAAAGTTCTGAGGAAGTAGCCCAAGGGAAAAACAGCAGGATGAGATAATTAACAGGGCATTGCTAACAAATCTGAAAAGACCAGATGGTTCCAATGCTCTATAAATTTTCTAAGAGAATCAAAAAGGAAGGAAAAAAAATTTAATTCTATATTATAAAGTCAGTATAACACTGATACTTCAACTGAATTAAGATTGTACAAAAAACTACAGACTAATGTGATTTGTGTATTTGGGTACAAAAATTATAAATAAAATATTAACAAGCAGAATCCAATACTGTACCATTTAAAAAAAAAACAAAACCCATGACCAACTGGTGAAAATGCAAGGTTGGTTCAATATTAGAAAATCCTGATACATCATATTTATAGACCTCAAAAAATGTTTATCTCCAAAAATGATGAAAAGGACTTTGACAAGATGTAGAAGAATTTACGGATACTTTCTTTACATGTGAAAATACATATACCTATAGCCAGAATCTTACTTATTGGCTAAACACTAGAAGCATTTCTGCTAAAATCATGAGCAAGGTAATGATGCCCACAAACTCTACTACTATTAAATATTATTATCCTAACTATATTAGCCACTGCAATTAGATAATAAATAATTTATGAGATATATAAACATTGGCAAGAAAATTAAAATTCTATTTTTAGATGATAATATAGTATATCTGGAAAACCTATAAAATCAATGATAAAAACAAACTCAAGCAATACAAGTATTCTATAAGATAGCAGAATAAAATATTAACCTACAGAAATCAGTAGCATTCATATACACAAATAAAAATCAGTTAAAATATATAATAATAGAGACAATCCCATCTATAATAGCAACACACAAGATTGAATACTTAAGAATAAACAATATAAAATATACAACAAGAAAAAAATTTAAATTATCTTCCAAAACATGAAAATAGACTTGAACAAATGGAAAGACATCATCTCTTCTTGGTCAGAACAATTCAATATCATGAAGATAACCACTCTTCCTAAGTTATTTTGGAAATATAATGCAATCCCAATAAAAATGTAAGTTGAAAAACAGAACTTAGACAATGTTGGCAAAAACATGCAAAAATAATCAGAAATGCACTAAAAAAGAAAAACTAAAAGGGTTACTGGCCTCCCAGAGATTAAAATACACTTTAAGTGAAACAAAGTGGGGCTGACACGTTAATAGACAGACCAGTAGGATAGGATGCATATCTCAGAAGAGATATCCATTCATATAGACATTTAGTAGAAATAAATGTGGTATTACATATCATGGGGGCAAAAATGGACTTTTTAAACAAATGGTACTGAGATGAGTGGGTAGCCATGTGTAAAAAGATAAAGTTAGCCTGGTTTGTGTGGCTCAGTAGTTGAGCGTCGATCCACGTACCAAGAGATAGCCGGTTTGATTCCCGGTCAGACACATGCCCAGGTTTTGGGCCAAATCCCCAGTGGGGAGCATGCAAGAGGCAGCCAATTGATATCCTCTCTCATTGATGCTTCTTTCACTCCCTTTCCCTTCCTCTCTCTCTAAAAATCAATAAAGAAAAAAGAAAAGATAAAGTTAGAAACATACCTGCACCATACTCTAAGGTAACGCCAAATATTTGAGAGAGCTACATGTTACAGAACAAATGAAGTCATGTAAGCAGTAGAGGAAACAGCAAAATGCTCTTTAGCAGCAGTGAAGGGAAACTTTGTAGCTATAGCTCAAAAGCTAAAGATAATTAAAGATGGATAATTTGGACTACACAAAAATTGAAATCTTCTGCACGAAAAAATCAGTCACATAGTCAAAAGACAACTGACAAACTCAAAACAATATTTGTCACATACATCTCAGACAAAGGTTAATATCTTAAAATATAAAGAACTCGACATTGAAAATAAAAGACCAAAATCCTAGTGGAAAAAAAAATGTCATGAACGGAATATTCACAAAAATGATATAAAAATGAACATAAGTAAATCAACAAAAGTGATATAAAAAGCCATTAAACATATGAGATAGTCAAACTCATAATGAAAAAAACTGCAAATTAAAAGAACACCGAAATATTGCTCCTCACCTACAAGATTGGTGAAAGGTTAACAGTATACAACACACCATTGGGGAGGCTGTAGGGAAGACTCTCATGCCCGCTCTCCCCCACTTCCTGCGGAATGCAGGCAGGACTAATCACCACTTGGCATTTACTATTATGGAAAATTCTGTCCTCTCTGCTGGAAGAGAGGTGTGACTCACCATACTCCTCAGGACCACTGACTTGGTAACTATCATTAGCACTGGATACTTTGATGAAAAACATGGGGAGAAAAGGAGAGACATAATCTTGATTACACACGTATGAACATTTTGGCCCATACTTCATTTTAAAAGATTAGGTTCAAATGCTAATATCATTCTTGAGTTTTATTGGAAAATGTGTTTTGGAAAGTAATGCAATTATGGAGTCAGGCCCCATATGACTAGAGTGGGACCTCGGTTCTCAAACTCAATTCATTCCAGAAGGCTGTTTGAGAAGTGATTTGTTCAAAAACAGAATCATTTTTTTCCCATTAGAAATAATGGAAATTGACTTAATCCATTCCAGACCCCCAAATGATTCCGTTTTAACCTTTCTTATATGCAGTGCATGTCTAAGCTCTACTGTTGTTCTCACAACTTTCCTTTTCAGTTTGCTTTGTCAATAACCTTCTTAGGACTTACTGTATTTAATAATGAGCAGCAACAAAAGCAAAAAAACATGAACATATTCGCAGCACAATTTCCTGAGATGTTAACAATGCAAGATTTAGCAGTAAGCTGACTCATTCTTGAGCATTTTCTCCTTTGTCACCCGAGAAATTCGTGAATGATCATCCAGGTGTCAGCGTAAAAGGATTGTTGGTCAAGAACCAAAGTTTTGTTTGACAACCAAGACATTTTTTCCGTGAACAACTTGATCAAGAACTGAATTGTTTGAGATGGGAGACATTCAAGAACCAAGGTTTGGCTGTGTTAAAACTATATAGTCAGTTATTTTTTGACCCAGTCATTCTGATTCTAAGACTACCCTGGAGGTCCATTTCCGCCATCTATAACAAAATACATATGCACCAGGCCATTTATTTATTTATTTGCATATGTGAATGCTTCCCCCGAGTGACAAGAGGCTTCACTCTCCTGCATATCCCTCCCACCAGCCACCGTGTCTGAGAGCTGGGCTGGAGGTAGGCCTTGCACTTCCTTCCCATTGCTCTACCCAGACCCCTTGGTGCTGAGAGGCCTGAGACTCCCCTGCAGTCACTAGACTAACTGTTTGCAAGATGCTTTGAGGCACCCCTGAGCAATGTGCTGGGTAAGTGCAAAGCATTGTTATTATGATGCAGTCACATTTCCTTTGATGAGCAGAGACTATGCTAAGACACCTTTGGAAGAGCCAAGATGAATCAGGGCATTGGTTTGAATGCTGCTTGCATGTTCCTGGAACATGAGTAATGACAGTGAGATGGCACACCAAAATCCAGCATGGAGAACACCAGCACATTTGACATTTCCAGGGACAGACTCTTTGAAATGGCCTGAATGAACATTCTTGAACCTTATTACCGAAGAATGGGGAATTTATAAATGCTGTCTCATGACTCTTGGGAGTTTACTTAGTGATTATACCGGTCTCTTGCTTTATGGTTTACCTGGAAGACTATCTTTGGTCTCATTTATTCCCCATATAGTAATTGTGTGATAGGCAGGGTACAAGTTGCCCATTTCTGATCTAATCTTATTTTTTCTCTGTTTAAAAGCCTATGCAGACTTCTGGTTGCCTTTAGAATAGAGTCCAAAATACTCAGTACGGTCCACAGGTCATGACCTTACCCCTCTCATTTAAGTTCACCTCTCACCTCTCTCCTGTCTCAGCTCTGGGCTCTGCACCAGGCTGTTTATTGAAGCATTATTTGTAATTGCAGAAGATTGAAAATATGTGGAAAGAGCATACACTGACAATAGGGGCTCTATGCTTCATTAGCACTGTGGAGTGCTCTGCAGCTGTAAAACATAGAGGAGGATCTCTATTAGCTGACATTGAGTGATTTCCACTTTAAAATGTTAAATGAAAAGAGTGAAAGGTGTTTACCCCTCATGTAATAAAGTAGGGATATACAGATATGCATATATCTCCTCATCTGTGCAAATGGAAATACAGGAAGGATAAAACAGGATGAATGAGATAGATCACCTATGGAATTGGTGGGATGAGGGTGAGTGGTATGTTTCTATATATACCTTTTTCTATAGTTAGGACTTTTGACACCATGATAATGCTTTATATAGTCAAATATTAATCAGCCTTTAAAATCAACAAGATGAGGGAACCAAAAAGGGATGCAATCAGTGACAAACAAACTTGACTCTATCAGAAATGAGTAACACACAACAAACGGGCGAGGAAGGAAAGAACTACTCTACGTAACTTTGGAAAACAGCATGTTACTACAGACTGTGAGACTAGAGGCCAACCAACCAACCAACCAACCAAACAAACAAACGAAACAAAAAAACCCACAAAAAACTATTCACAAATATTATTCTCTTGCTGGTAAATTTGATTTTCTTGGGGGTGTGAAATAACAATTCTAAAACTTGAGGACTAAGCAAATGCTTAAATATGTTGTGGAAAATGGAAGCCAGGTTTCTAACAAAGAAGGAACAGAAGGAACCCTGAGAGAACCCTGTGCTGCTGGAGTGGAATCAGAGGCATCAAGTGATTTTACATGAAGGAAGGAGGGAGGGAGGGAGAGAGGCAGAGAATTCAATATAGATGTGTCTGTGTATGCATCTGTGTGTGTCTGTGTGCATTTGTGTCCCTGTGTGCACATATCTGTGTATGCCTGTGTGTGTGCATCTGTGTATGCCTGTATGTGTCTGTCTGTGTATGCACATCTGTGTGTGTCTCTCTGTGTTCATGTATTTCCAGCTTGGTCTGCTGGGAGAGCCTGGAAGCAATGCCATTCTACGGAATTTACCCAGCACCCAGTTCTTGATTTCTAAGTTCAGTTCTCCAATAAAAGAAACCAGATTCCAAGACTGAAACAGGAAAAATACAAGAGGCCGTAGAACATCTTGTGGTGCCAGAAAATAAGGATGTGCTCAGAAAGGATGGGACATGTTAAAAGGACAGAGGAACAAAATGGAAGGGTCTCCCAAGGCAAATCTGGGATAATTTGGATAAGAAAACAATGACACTGGTTTTCATTGCAGCAAATCATCTATTGGAGGGGAGCATTTTCTCCACTCCTGGGAATATTCTGAGGGTACATTCTGGACTCTCACCATCCTGTCCACCCCAGGAGAGGAGCAGAGACTTAACTGAAAGTTTGGGAGGGCATGGGCAGTGTGACAGCACCTTCCTTACCCTTCTGCCATCCACCTGTCTGCAGGGACAACATTCCTGCCAGCTCCTCTAGGCCTAGTGTTCTAGGGTCAGACCCAGGGGTAGGGGTGGGAGGCTGGTGGTTCCTGGGCCCTGAAAGAGATGAGAAATCGGCCTAACCTGGTGAAGCAGTCTCGATCTCTCCACTCTTTACATGCTCCATCAGGAGCTGTCTCCATGTGCATGTATCTGGTTCCTCTGTGCTCCCCACTAAGCTCCGAACTCAGACAAAGGAATTATCAGGTTGCATTTACCATTATTGTGTGTTTTCTCCTCATTGACAAGAGAGATTTGTTGATTTTCTGACAGTTCATGATAACCCTCAGAATCAATTTGATTCCCATCAGAGTCGATATCTTCGAAGAACATGGAAAAAATGAAGAAATGTTTTCCTGATTACACACTTAACAACACTTTGGTCTATATTTTATTTTAAAATATTAGAGTGGAATGCTAATAGAGTTTCCAAGTTCCATTGGAAATGTGTGTTGGAAAGTTAATATGTAAACAGAGTCAGGCATCATCTGACCGCCTTGAACCCAGCAGTTTGGGTCTCGGCAGATGTTGGGTGAGCTAATCCAAGGACTTGGAATTTACATTTGAATGTAAAATTTCAAGAAAATGCTGAACTTCCCTGCTGCTTTATGCATTTTTATGCACTGAGTGTAGATTTCTGATCTCTAGCTTCCCCCTCAGCAAGTGTCAGCCAAATATTCTGTCTTGGCTCTCAGAGTGCTACTTTATTTATTTATACTCACTTTTGAATAATGAAGCTGCATTTTGGAAAAGCACATTCTCTGCTTTTATTCACTACTAGCAATGTGGTCTTGGGCATGTCCTTTTTCAGACCTTAGTTTGATCTGTGGAATGGGTTCATGGTGGCTGCCCTGCTCTCTCAGAAGCTTGGCGAGCATCACGTGTGCTGGTTTATGGAAAGTCTCTATTTTTCTGTACCCCATGTTTCTACTGTAGCTGAACCCCAGCGGCTTGCACATGCACCCCAGAGATCACCTCAGAATGAAGGGAACTTGTTTCTGCTGGTCTAGGTTTGACCTCCCTAGTCTCTGGCAGTTTATAGAAATGGTTTGGGACAGCTGCTTCTTCCACATCTCCCTTTGCTTTTGCCCCAGAAGTAGCTGGCCTTAAAAATGCTAACAATGGGATTGTGCATGTAATACCCTAGGAATACATGCAATTATAGGGTTAAAAATGTATACTTGCCTTTTCTCTTGGGTATTGTTGTTGATATCGTTGCTGCTGTCCTGGACGTTTCAGCCCTGGATGATTTATTTGGATTCAGTATCTCTTGGACTAGAATTTCATCTTGGGAAAAGCACACAAGGACACGTTAAAGCCAGTGATGCAGAATCCACACACTTTTACTCTACACAGACCTGAGGCAGTCTGCGAATGCAGTGACTGGAAACAGGAAGTCAGGGACTCCATGGACAAGGGAGTCGGCTTTCTAAAGAACCACGCCTGGGGTGGGGAGACCATTGTCTTCCTAAGTTATTTCTGAAAACCTGAGACCATCCAGATTCCTTGAACAGTAAACATTGACCCCCAAAGATAGGAGACTGAAAACCTAGCCCTGGGTGTTGTCATAATTCTTTTTGCCCCTGCTGTCATTCTGTCTTCTCTAAGCTGTCCTCATGTAGGCACGAACAGTGTTCCTGATTTCTACATCATGTGGCATTATTTTTCCCTTTACATCCTTCTCACCCCTCCTAGGAAGTTTATAACATAAGAGTCCAAGGCTTTGTGTTGAACAGAGTTGAACCACATTCTGGTTCTACTTTCATCAGAATGTGATCTTAGACATGTTTCTCTCTGACCTTCAGTTTTCTCTTCTGTAAAATGGGGTCTGTATTTCAGTGGGCTTTTTATGAGGCTCAAATAAAGCAGGGAATGTAGGAAACACACTCCTGAACTGTGGTGGAAACGAAAAGAATAAACAGCAGATGGGAGTCCCCCCATCTCTGCAACTCAACAGTTGTTGCAAACTAAACTCTTTTAGTTTTTCCTTGTTGAGTATGATGTTAGCAGTGGGGTTGTCATATATGGTGTCACAACAGTGTCTTTTATTATGTTGAGGTATGTTCCCTCTGTTCCCACTTGGCTGAGAGTTTCTATCATAAATGAATGCTGGCTTTTGTCCAGTGCTTTTTCTGTGTCTGTTGATATGATCACATAATTTTTATCCTTTATTTTGTTTATGTGGTGCAGCATGTTGATTGATTTGTGAATATTTGACTAACCTTGAATCCCTGGAATAAATCCCACTTGATTTTTTTAATGTATTACTGAATTTGGTTTGCTAATATTTTGCTGAGAATTTTTGCATCTATGTTCATCAGGAATATTAGTCTATAATTTTATTTTATTGTAACGTCTTTGGTTTTGAAATGAGGATGAGTGGCCTCATAAAAAGAGCTTGGGAGCCTTCCCTCTTCTTGAATTTTTTGGAATAGTTTGAGAAGGATAGCTATTTATTCTTTGAATCTTGGCTAAAATTCTCTTAAGAAGTATTCTAGTCCAGTACTTTTGCTTGTTTTTATTTTTTTAATATATATATATTTTTTATTTTTTGTTCAGGTAGAGTGGGAGGGAGAGAGAAGAAGAGAGAGAGAAACATCGACGTGAAAGGGACACATCGAGTGGTTGCCACCCACACGACCCAACCAGGGCCGGGGACAAACTGCAACCGAGGTACGTGCCCTTAGCGGGAACTGAACCCGGGTCTCCATGGACCGCAGGCCGACGCTCCAACCGCTGAGCCAAACCAGCCAGGGCTGTTTTTATTTTTTTAAATTACTAATTAGATTTCATTGGTAGTAATTGGTCAGTTCAGATTTTCTGTTTCTTGTTTTAGTCTTGGAAGTTTGCATGTTACTAGGAATTTATCCATTTCTTCCAGCTTGTTCAATTTGTTGGCATAAAATTGTTCATAGTGTTTTCATATAATCCTTTGCATTTCTGTGATGTTAGTGGTCACTTCTCCTCTTTCATTTCGAATTTTATTTATTTGGGTCCTCTCTCTTTTCTTCTTGATGAGTCTGGTTAGAGGTTTATCAATTTTGTTTATCTTTTCAAAGAACCAGCTCTTGGTTTCATTGATATTACATATTTTTTTTTTAGACTACTTATTTCCACTCTGATCTTTATGATCTCTTTCCTTCTACTCACTTTGGGCTTTTTTTTTTTTCCTAATTCCTTTAAAAGTAAGGTTAAATTTTTTATTTAAGATTTTTCTTGTTTCATGAGGTAGGCCTGCATTGCTATGAATTTCCCTCTTAAGATTGCTGTGTCCCATAGATTTTGGGTTCTTGTGTTTTTATTTTCATTCGTCTTAAGGTATCTTTGATTTCTTCCTTAATCTCATTGTTAACCAATTCATTGTTTAGTAACATGTTATTTTACTCCCATATGTTTACGTGTTTTTAATTTTTTTCTTGTAATTAATTTCTAGTTTCATACCATTATGGTAGAAAGGATGCTAGATATAAGTTCAATCTTCTTAAATTTATTAAGATTTGTTTTGTGTCCTAACTTGGCCTTTCCTGGAAAATTTTTCATGTGCACTTGAAAAAAAGGATATTCAGTTGCTTTGGGGTGAAATGCTCTAAAAATATCACTTAAATCCATCTGGTCTAATTGTCATTTAAAGCCAATGTTTTATTATTTATTTTCTGACTGGAAGATGTATCCATTGATGTCAATGGTGTGTTAAAGTCCCCTACTATGACTGTAGTACTATTGAACTCTCTCTTTATGTTCATCAATATTTGCTTTATATATTTAGGTGCTCCTATGTTGAATACATAAATGTTCACAAGGGTTGTATCTTCTTATTTGATTGATCCCTTTATCCTTATGTAATGTTTTTCTTTGTCTATTATTATGGCCTTCATTTTAAAGTCTATTTTATCTTATAAAAGTATTGCTACCCAAGCATTTTTTCATTTTCTTTTGCACGAAATACCTTTTTTCCATCCCTTTACTTTCAGTCTCTGTGTATTACTTGTTCTGAGATGGGTGTCTTGTAGACAGAATATATATGGGTCTTGTTTTCATATCCATTCCACTATCCTGTGTTTTTTGATTGGAACACTTAATCTGCTTATAATTAAAGTGATTACTGATAGGTACACAGTTATCACCATTTTATTATTTATATTTATGTTCCTTTTTTCCTCCTTCTTTTAATTTATTTTTTTATTTTCATTAAAAAAATTTTTTTTCTTATTGATTTTTAGAGAGAGAGGAAGACAGAAGGAAAGAGAGATAGAAACATCAATGAGAGAAAACATCAACTGGCCGCCTCCTGCATGTCCCCCATGAGGGATTGGGCCCACAACCTGGGCTTGTGCCCTGACCAGGAATCAAACCGGCGACCTCTTGGTGCATGGGTTGATGCTCAACCACTGAGACACACCAGCTGGGCCTCCCTTGTTTAAAAAATTTTTTTTAAACTTATCTTTTTTTTTTTTTTTTTTTTATCCTCACCCGAGGATATTTTTCCATTTTTTGTACAGATAGAGTGGGAGGGAGAGAGAGGAAGGGAGAGAGAGAGAGAAACATCGACGTGAAGGGACACATCGAGTGGCTGCCACCCGCACGACCAACCAGGGCCGGGGACAAACTGCACCCGAAGTACGTGCCCTTAGCGGGAACCGAACCCGGGTCTCTCCGGACCGCAGGCCGACGCTCTAACCGCTGAGCCAAACTGGCCAGGGCTAAACTTATCTTTATTGTTGAAAGTATTACAGATGTCCCCTCTTTTTTCCCCCAATGACACCCTTTTCCCTGCTCCCCCTCCCCCTCCTGGCTTCCTCACACTATTGTCTATGTCCATTGGTCATGCATATATCCATACATATTTGCATATGTTGGTTATGTGTATATGCATATAAGTTCTTTGGTTTATTTCTTTCTGCCTCCTGATCTCACTCCCTCTAACAACAAATTTGTACTTCTTAATCACTCACCTTCTTCACCCATCCACTCAACTTCCCTCCCATCTGGCAACCAACAAAATGTTCTCTGTATCTATTAGTCTATTTCTGTTCTGCTTGTGCATTTTTTTGGAGTTTCAGTTGTTGATAGATATGTATTTATTGCCATTTTATTGTTTATATTATTCAAGAAGACACTTCAACATTTCATATAATACTGGTTTGGTAGTGATAAACTCCTTTAGCTTTTTTTTGTCTGGGAAACTCTTTATATGTCCATTGATTCTAAATGATAGCGGTGCAGGATAGAGTGATCTTGGTTGTAGGTCCTTGCTTTTCATCACTTTGAATATTTCTTGCCACTCCTTTCTGGCCTGCAAAGTTTCTTTGGAGAAATCAGCTGACAGTCTTATATAAGGGAGCTCTCTTGTAAATAACTGTTTTTCTCTTGCTGCTTTTAAGATTCTCTCTTTGTCTTGCCCAGCTGGTGTGGCTCAGTGGTTGAACATTGACTCATGCATCAGGAGGTCACTGGTTTGATTCCTGGTCAGGACACATGTCCAAGTTGTGGGCCCAAACCCCAGTGGGATCATGCAAGAGGCAGCCAATAGATGTTCTCTCTTATCAATGTTTCTGTCTCTCTCTTCCTCTCCCTTCCTCTCTCTCTAAAGTCAATAAAGAAAAAAAAGATTCTCTCTTTGTCTTTAACCTTTTGCATTTTGATTATGATGTCTTGGTGTGGGCCTCTTTGGTTTCATCTTGTTTGGGACTCTCTGTGCTTCCTGGACTTGTATGTCTGTTTCCTTCACCAAGTTAGGGAAGTTTTCTGTCATTATTTTTTCTTTTTCTTTTTTCAAATAGGTTTTCGATTTCTTGCTCTCTCTCTTCTCCTTCTGGCACCCCGCTAACGTGAATGTTGGTATGCTTGAAGTTGTCTCAGAGGCTCCTTAAACTGTCCTCGCTTTTTTTTTAACCCGTTTTTCATTTTGCTGTTCTAATTGGTTGTTTTATGCTTCCTTATATTCCAAATCGATGGTTTGCTTATTGGCTTCACATACTCTACTATTTATTTCCTGTAAATTATTCTTTATTTCAGTTAGTGTATCCTTCATTTCTGACTGGTCCTTTTCTTTATTGTTGATGTTCTCACGGCATTCCTTGGAATTCTCACTGAGTTCCTTGAGCATCCTTATAACCAGTTTTTTTTGTTTTTGTTTTTTTATCCCCACCCAAGGACATTTTTTGATATTTTGTTCAGATAGAGTGGGAGGGAGAGAGAGAGAAACATCGATGTGAAAGGGACACATCGAGTGGTTGCCACCCACACGACTCAACCATTGCCGGGGACAAACTGCAACCGAGGTACGTGCCCTTAGGGGGAACTGAACCCGGGCCTCTCTGTTCCGTGGGCCAACACTCTAACCGCTAAGCCAAACCGGCCAGGGCATAACCAGTGTTTTGGACTCTGCATCTGTTAGATTGCTTACCTGTTTTGTTTAGCTCTCTTCCTGGAGTTTTGTTCTGTTCTTTCATTTGGAACATGTTTCTTTGTTTCCTTATTTTGGCTGCCTCCCTGTGTTTGTTTCTATGTATGAGGTAGAGTTGCTATGTCTCCTAGACTTCCTAGGGTGGCCTATTGTAGTATGTTTCCTGTAGGGTCCAGTGGAACAGCCTCCCTGATCACCCCAGTTGTGCCCTTGAGGTACACCCCTTATGTGGACTGTACACCCTTCTATTGTAATTGAGTCTTGATTGCTGTTGGCACATCAATGGGAGGAATTTACTCATGCTGATCAGCTGCAAGGACAGGCTGTGCCCACTGACCACTGACTTCTGACTACCTTGGAGGACCTGCTGTGCAGGGGCCCACAACACAGAGCAAGACTTACTTCAGCCAGGTTCTGGTACCCACTGAATCTACTCCTTGAGTGTGTTGCTTGTGGAGGTGGTTGGGTGGTGATGCTTCAACGTGATCTGAAGCTGTCCACTGGGAGTGCTGGCTCTGGGGCAAGGTCAGCCACTGCTGTAGCATAAGCTACAGAGTGATCTGCAAATGGCTGCTTCTAGTGTCAGGCCTGGAGCCACTTAGTGAGAGGTGTAGGGTTCACTGAGGCCAGATGCTGCTGTTTGCAAGAACTTAGGAAAATCTGAACAGATTTTAAAATAAATTTTATAGTACATCCTATAGTAAAGCCACTGGAAACAACTTGGGTGGTCCCGAAAGTTGGGTGGGGCAGGGCTTCAGGGTATCACCAGGGAGGGCAAACACTGTGAGCCAGGTTGCTAGAGTCTCAGATATGGCAGCCATCTGCCTGCCTTGTGAGGGAAGGACTCTCCAAAGGAACATCAGCCTTCACCAGTATATCTGTCTGGAAGAAAGCTGCCTCGCCAGCTCTCACCCTGATGCCAAACAACTCCGTTCTTCCTTGAATGTCTCTGGTGCCTCTCAAGCTACCTCCCTCATACTGGAGCCAGTCTTGATGTGGCTTCTTGTTTTGTTTTGTTTTGTTTTTAACTCATTTTTATTGTTGAATGTATTACAGATGTCCTCCCCCCCCACTTTTTTACCCACTGACCCCTTCCTCCCCAATCTCACCCTGCTCCTGCCTTCCCCACACTATTGTTAGTGTCCATTGGTTATGTATATATGCATAGAAGTTCTTTGGTTTATCTCATCCTCCTCTTCCTCCACCCTTTCTTTTGAGGTTCATCAGTCTAACAACCAGTTTGTACTTCTTAATTCCTTCATCTTTTTCACCCATCCCTCCAGCCCTCACCCATCTGGCAAGCAACAAAAAGTTATCTGTATCCATGAGTCTGTTTATGTTCTGCTTGCTCATTTTGTTTATAGATTCAATTGTTGATAGATATGTATTAATTGCCATTTTATTGTTCATATTTTTGTTCTTCTTCTTCAAGAAGACCCTTCAACATTTCATATAATAATGGTTTGGTAGAGATCAACTCCTTTAGCTTTTTCTTGTCTGGGAAACTCTGTATATGTCCATCGATTCTAAATGATAGCTTTGCAGGATAGAGTAATCTTGGTTGTGGGTCCTTGCTTTTCATCACCTTGAATATCTCTTGACACTCCTTTCTGGCCTGCAAAGTTTCTTTTGAGAAATCAGATGACAGTCTAATGGGAACTCACTTGTAGGTAACTAACTGCTTTTCTCTTGCTGCTTTTAAGATTCTCTCTTTGTCTTGAACCTTTGGTATTTTGATGATGATGTGTCTTGGTGTAGACCTCTTTGGGTTCATCTTGTTTGGGATTCTCTGTGCTTCCTGGACTTGTATCTGTTTTCTTCATCAAGTAAGAGAAGTTTTCTGTAATTTTTTTCAAATAGATGTTCATCTCCTTACACTGTCCTTATTTTTTTGGATATTTTTTTCTTTATGCTGTTCTGTTTGGGTGTTTTTTGCTTCCTTATATTCCAAATAGATGATTTGCTTCTTGGCTTTACCTACTCTACTATTGATTCCCTGTAAATTACTCTTTATTTCAGTTAGTGTATCCTTCATCCTTCATTTCTGACTGGTCCTTTTTTTTAAAATCCTCACCCGAGGACATTTTTTCATTTTTTGTTCAGATACAGTGCGAGGGAGAGAGAGAGAGAGAGAAACATCGACGTGAAAGGGACACATCGAGTGGTTGCCACTCACACGACCCAACCAGGGCCAGGGACAAACTGCAACCAAGGTACGTGCCCTTAGTGGGAACCTGGGTCTCTAGGGACCACAGGCCGATGCTCTAACTGCTGAGCCAAACCAGCCAGCGCTGACTGGTCCTTTTTGTTGTTGTTGATGCTCTCACTAAGTTTCTTGGAGGTCTCCTTAAGTGCCTTAAAGGTCGCATTAAGTTCCTTGAATGTCTCACCTAGTTTCTTGAGTAACCTTAAAACTAGTGTTTTGAACTCTGCATCCGATGGATTGCTTATCTCCATTTCATTTAGTTCTTTTCTTGGAGTTTTGTTCTGTTCTTTCATTTGGGACATGTTTCTCTGTCTCCTCATTTTGGCTGCTTCCCTGTGATTGCTTCTATGTATTAGGTAGAGTTGCTAGGTCTCCTAGGCTTTGTAGGGTGGCCTATTGTTGTAAGTGTCCTGTAAGGTCTAGTGGCACAGTCTCCCTGATCACCCCAGGTGGGCCCTCGAGGTGCACCCCGTAGTGTGGACTATACACACTTCTGTTGTAATTGAGTCTTGATTGCTTTTGGCACATCAATGGGAGAAATTTACTCAGAATGATCACCTGTGAGGATTGGCTGTGCCTGCTGACCACTGGCCTCTGACTACCTTGAAGGACCAGTAGTGCAGGGCCCAACACACAGAATAAGACTTACTTCAGCAGGGCTCTGGTACCCACTGAGTCCACTCATTGAGTGTGTCACTTGTGAAGGTGGTTGGGTGGTGGTATTTTGATGTGGTCTGAAGCTGTCCACTGGGCCTGCTGGCTCTGGGGCCAGGTCAGCCACTGCCTGTGTTCTACCCGGGGCCACCCGGCATAAGCTACAAAGTGATCTGCTGATGGCTGCTTCTTGTGCTGGGCTTGGAGGTGCCCAGGAAAAGTCAAGCTGTGAACCAAGGCTGGCTGTTTCTAGTGCCAGATCTGGGGCCACTTAACAAGAGGTATGGGGCTTGCTGAGACCGGATGCTGCTTGTTTGAGAGATTTTAGGAAACTCTGAAGCAGGATTCAAGACAGGCCAATCCTATGGTAAAGCCACTGGAAACAGCTTGGGTGGGCCTGAAAGTTGGGTGGGGCAAGGCCTTAGGGAATCACCAGTGTGGGCAAACAGTGTGAACCCGGTTGCTGGAAAGATCAAGAAAGATATGGCGGCTGTCTGCCGGCCCATGGGGAAAGGGCTCACCAAAGGAACAATGGCCTCCACCAGCCCATCTGTCTAAGAGAAAGCTGCCTCTCCAGCCCTTGTCTTGAGGCCAAACAGCTCAGTTCTTCCCTGTATGTTTCTGGTGCCTTTCAAGCTGCCTCCCCTCCGAGCTTAGAGGGAGCAAGTCTGAGTAAGTCCATGGGCAAGTCCATGCACAGGCCCTTTGAGAGGAGCTGCTTGGGGCAATAGCAGCCTCAACCTCCTTTAGCCTCAATTTGTGCTGGTTTTTATAGCCAGAAGTTATGGGGACTTCTCTACCTGGCACTAGAACCCTGAGCTGGGTGCCTGGTGTGGGAGGGGGACCCCTCACTTCTCAGGGATGACCTTCACAGCCAAGGTGTCCTTCTGATTTTTATCTGCCACATGTGGGTGTGGGACCAGCCCGTCCACGCTTCTGTCCCTCCTACCAGTCTTGATGTGGCTGCTTCTTCAATTTCGTAGTCATAGGACTTCCATTCAGCTTGACTTCAGGTGGTTCTGAATGATGGTTGTGCTGTAATGTAGTTATAATTTTGATGTGGTTATGGGAGGAGGCAAGTACCGCATTTACCTACACTGCCGTCTTGAACGAAAATCTTTCTCTGCTTCTTCTTAAAAGAATTCCCTTTAGCCCTGGCCAGTTTGGCTCAGCGGTTGGAGCATCGGCCTGTGGTCCACAGAGACCCGGGTTCGGTTCCCACTAAGGGCAGGTATCTTGGTTGCAATTTGTCCCCGGTCCTAGATGGGTCGTGCAGGTGGCAGCCACTCGATGTGTCCCTTTCACATTGATGTTTCTCTCTCTCTCTTCCCCTCTCTCCCTCCCACTCTATCTGAAAAAAAAATGGAAAAATGTCCTCGGGTGAGGATAAAAAAAAAAAGAAGTTCCTTTAGCATTTCTTGTAATACTGATTTAATGGTGATTTCTTTTCTCTCTTCTTCTCTTCTCTTCTCTTCTCTTCTCTTCTCTTCTCTTCTCTTCTCTTCTCTTCTCTTCTCTTCTCTTCTCTTCTCTTCCCTTCTTCTCTTTTCTTCCTTTCTTTCTTTTTTTTTTTTTTAGATAGAGTGGAAAGGAAGAAGGGAAAAAAAGAGAGAAACATAGATATGTGAGAGACACATTGATTGGTTGCCTCCTGTACCACCCCGACTGGAGCTGGGATTGAACCTGTAACCCAGGTACGTGCCCTTGACCAGGAATCAAACCCACAATCCTTCATTTTGTGGGCCGACAGTCTAACCGTTGAGCCAAAACAGCCAGGGTGGTGATGAATTTCTTTAGCTTTTTCTTGTCTGGGAAGCTCTTTTTCTCTCCTTCAATTTAAAATGATAGCTTTGCTTGTTAGAGAGGTCTTGGCTATAGGTCCAGCACTTTGAATATTTCACACCAACCCCTTCTGTCCTGAAAAGTTTCTGTTGGGAATAAGTCGACAGCCTTATGAGAGCTCCCTTGTGGGTAACTATCTTTCCCTTACTGCTTTTATGATTATCTCTTTATCTTTAATCTTTGCCATTTTAATTATGAGGTGTCTTGGTGTGGGCCTCTTTGAGTTCATCTTGTTTGGGGCTCTCTGTATATCCCAGACTTGCATATGTCTTTTTTCTTCACCAGGTTAGGGTAGTTTTCTGTCACTATTGCCTTAAATGGTTACTCAGTCCCTTGCTCTCTCTCTTCTCCCTCTGGTGACCCTATGATGTGAATATTGTTATGCTTGATGATGTCCTCCTGAGACTCCTCAGCCTCAAGAGCAGTGTCAGTGTCACACTTCCCTAGGCTATGTCTCAGACCCTGGGTGACCCAAAATCCTTGCTCCCGATCCCATGAACAGGTGGCAGTGGGCATAAATGTCCTTCCATTTAGTTGGGGGCCAGTGCTCCAAGTTCTGAGTCCCAGCTCTCTGCTCAGAGGACTTTTCTGGGCCTCAATTTCCTTAAATATAAAATGGTCGGTTGGTTGTGACCACACAAACATGCGTGGGATGTGGTTGGCTCAACTGAGATGTCCTCTGAAGTGTGGAGTACACCTGGATTTTGAAGACTCGGTGAGATAAAGATTTAAAATATCTCAATAATAATTTTATATTGGTTACATCTCAGAAGAACATTAAATAAAATGTTATTAAATTAATTTCACTTTCTTCCCCTTCTCCTCCCCCTCCTCCTTCGACTCCTCCGCCTTCTTCTTCAAACTGTGGCTAGTAGAAAATTTAAAATGACATCTGTGGCTTGCATTGTATTTCTTTTCAACAGCCCTGGGTGAGATTAATGATTCTCAATCTCTTCATGCTTCCAGGTGAGGCTGGACAGTGGGGCTTTCCACTAAGTTTCCTAGGTCATGTAGGCACTGCGGGTCCATGGCTATAAGACTTTTCTTAGGTCTAATGGCCTAAAATTCTACATCTTTCTTAATTTCATGGAAGTTTGACTCTTAGATGTAAGCACTGAAGATATGGGATGTGGGGATGTGATTTGAGCCTCAAACCACATCACTTCCACCTTGTGCAATTTGCATTAGGTTATTTGGAAAACACCCACTGACAATCACCCAACCCCTTCAAACACGAACCAGATGTTTGATAGTAGGAGGTTTGATAATTGCCCAGGTGTTTGCTCCCTAGTTTTTGATCTGGGTGACGTTTCAGTAACTGGACCTAGTAGGGTAATAAAAACCCTAATAGCTTAACAATGTTCATTAAATTTGGACTAACTTCTCTCTAAATAGATTCAATTCTTCAGAGCTCTGCGCAAGTCCCTGGGTCTGGGTTCTCATCTGGAAAGTGGAGGGCAAGGCAGCTATGAGGATAGAGTGACACTTTGCCCTTGTGCTCTGAGCTGACACCTGTGCTCTCGGGCAGTGCTCCCTGGTGCTATCCCTTTAGAAGAGTAAAAACTGTCCTTGCTCCAAGGATGACTGTGCTTGTGCAAGTGCTCTGAGGAGAGCAAATGAAGAGGGACACACATTCTTTCGTAGTAGGCAGTTAGACAGACGTGAGCAGAGTAAGGACAACGGGCCAGGTAGAGGAGGTCACCAGGGCAGAAAGCCCTGGGTGCTTAGCAATGGCGAACTGTAGGATGGGACCTCAACCCTAGGGTACCATTTCCTCCCCTGGCATATAGCTGGTCATATGGTTTGGACCCCCAGCAACCTTTCATATCATTGGATGCAGTTTAGACCCCCAGAACTTTCCACCCTAGAGATAACATCTAGTCCTCAGTTGTATCTCAGCTCTGGGCCCAGAAAACCAGATAAATGACACCAAGGCTGACCTCAGGACCAGCTGCATTGAATACGGACCTCCTGCCTTGGCACTGAGCAATCAGTGGAGACCCCGGCCATGAAGGACACACCTGGAAAGCTGCTGAATATTCTATTCAGATCTTCTCCTGGGACCTCCCCTAAAATCTCCACCCTTAAAACCCTTAGAAGGAAGGACAGGAGCCTTTTCCCCTGCCCCACCCCCCATGCATGTCACCTTTACCTTACTCACTTCTAAGCCCTAAGGGCTCTTCCTTGGCCCCTGTCACTTCTTTCCTAAGCACATGTCTTCTATGAGTTACTTCTAACTCTGTGATTTTCTAAATAAATGTTCTCTTATAGTTTCAGTCTTGACTCTGAGAACTCAGGTACCAAGGTTGCTGAACCCCGGTCTCGTCTGTCCCCACCAGTCTAACACCTGGTGCCTGTCCCGCTGCTGCCACAGTGGCAGGCTGACCAGAGAGGACACAGCACCCCAAGGACTGGCTAGGCAGGGCCACCTCCCCTTGCTGCAACACACAGCTTTTAAGTGGCGTCTGCAGACGCTGAAGTTCTAACACTAAACCAATGACAACGCTGATTTTCAAATGGGTTTAATGATGGACAATCTGCATACCAATTGACTCATCTGCGCACGGAGGGCTTAGAACAATACAGGAAAACGATGTAAAAAGGTCTGTGCTGCGATGACAATCGCTTCCCAGTGTGCTGACCTTCGGCAAATGAAGCAAACAAAAGTACAGTTCTCTTTGGAGGAGACATTAATGCGTCATTAAGAATGGGTACAGCTGTGTCGTGCAAGCACTTTGTTAAAAATATTCTTTTCATTTTGTGTCTGTCCCATAATTATAATGGAAGTATTGTGCGAGTCAGCCAGTAAGCATATGCAGAAAAATATTTATGTTTTGTAATATCTTCACGGTTTCTAAAGTGTATTGTCAAGTGTAGCTGCTGTATCGGATTTTGCTTGTTGTCACCTCTTATTGACAGTCTCTCAGTTTTAAACCAGCCCAGCACCCGCCCGTGTTATCATGATAATTGACTATTCTCTCTCCGTATTTGCATGGTGCACATCCTGGCCACCAGGAAGGGCTCACTGTTGAGTTCTGTGGCTGTGCTCTGGTTAATTTAAAGAAAATAAGGCTGAAGCTTCCTCCACCATGAGGTCCATGGCCTCTGATCCCCTTTCTCTCCTTGTGGCCACAGTGCCCACCAAGGCAGAAAGACCCCAGCAGCAGAGTAAAACACCCAATGTCCTTTTGAGAAGATGATTTAGAAACCACCCCTATCTGGTCTTTCAAGCTGGGGCAGACCTTGGAGGGAACCTAAGATTGTCAGTGTCTGACGAGGAGACCAGATGTAGGGAGAGGAGAGGCTGGCTTAGGGCTGCAGCAGGGGTGTCCATTTAATCCCTGGGTGTGGACCTGGGAGCAGGAAAGGCATACATAGAAATGAGCTGGCTGGAGGGACGGCAGCACGGAGTGATCACACATCCCCCCACCTGGTACAGACCCCTCAGCACTCAGCACCCCAAAGAACACTGTCCTTGGTAAGTGCCTCAAAACTAAGTTTCCTTAAGAAAAGAAAGCTGGAAATGTTAGCTTCTTTCATGGCATTGTCAGGCCTGGGGGGCCCCCTCTCCCCTGCCTTCTCATCCAGACTGAGGCCAGGCTGGACTGTCTCTCAGGTAACTCAGGCCAGCGTGGGTGGGAGGGAGAGCACATCGCTGGGCCGGGGCCGGGACCCATGTGTCCTGCTCTCAGGAGCGCTGCACAAACCCTGCAGATGTCTCTTCAGAGTCTGCTCGTCCAACCTTGGGAGCTGGGGCTGGGGACCCTCTCAGGCCTCTTTCCTTGAGCTCCCATCTGTGGTGACCTCTGTGGGTGGGTGGGTGGGGGGAGCGGGTGGTCTGACATGTAGCTTCCTGGGCAGAGAAAGGGTGGGTCACGGAAGTCCCCCCTTTCTGCTGTCTTCTGACTTCTCTCTCAGAGTCACATCCCCGAAGGTCACCCCCTGTCCACTGTTCCACCGTCCCACTTCTCAGTACTTAAGTGGTCAGGACGCAAGGGTCAGAGCCAAAGGCACATGGGCCCTGCTTAGGTGTGATTGGAGCCAACCACTCTAACAGGAGATTCTGAGACCACGGGAGAGATTAGAATGTGGGCCGGGTACGAGCCCACAGTCAATCCTTCACAGGGTTTTTGTTACTCTTGTCAGTGTTTAATGCTGTTGTAGAAGAAAAAGGCCCTGAAGAGGGCATAGAGGGGATAAATGGTGATGGAAAATATAAAATAAAATTAAAAATCAAAAAATAATAAAAAGAAATAAAATAAAAAGGTCCTTATCTTAACAAGAAAATGCTTTCATGACATGGTAAGACATCTTGGACAGTGCTAAAATACTCCTAGTAACCACAAAAGTGTGTGTGTAGAAAAAATGAGATGGCAAAATGTATATAATTAAAACTGGGTATACTATTTCTCTACTTCTAGGTAAGTCACAAAATTACCATAATAAAAAGTTAAAATACATATTGTATGCTACTCTCCCACGGAGTTCTAGATTTTAAAAAAGGCTTCGACTTACTCCATTCCCCCAGGGAATAAAGGATAAATTTGGGGAGATGGAGAAGAAGAGGGACCTGATTCAGGCCCAGGGAGGAGCATGTTTTCCACCTGCCACCGCCACCCACTGTGACTGTACCTGAAGTGTTGCGGGCCGGCTGCTCAGCTCTGTGACAGCAGTACAGCAGCAGGACAAAGACGGTCACTCCCCGATTCGCTGCCATGTCCCCTCCAGCTGAAGGAGGAGGACCTCCTCCTGAAGGCCCCTCAGCTCCCCTCGCCTTAGTCTCCAGGATACTGTGGAATGTCCAGGGACCTGTGACATCATGGCAGGAAGTGAGCTGGGTCCTGCCCTGTGTGTGGGGAGGGTCGTGCCCAGGGCCTTTGACTGAGAAGAAGTGGGGGGTTCGTGGGGGCCATCGGGCAACAGAGATCCCCTCTACTGGTTTCAGTTGCCTGGTTGGGTGCTTTCCTCAGTTGTGCAGACCCTGAGTTCTGAAGAGAGAGAATCAGGACTCTAAGTGCAAGTGGCAGAACCAAACAAAGTCTGCTTCAGTGAAAGAGATGTATCAGAAGGAGGGTGGAGAGCTAGCTGAGTTACCAGACCGCTGCTGCAGCATCAGTTCCTTGCAGAGTAGTGGCTGATGCCCCAGGCCTCCCCATTCTCTCCTCAGATTCCTCTTTCCCATCTCTGCGTCTCAGCATCAGCCCAACTTCGCCCTGGTGGCAGACTTTCGTCACAAGAAATGGACTTCCGGTCAAGATGGCAGCGTATGTAAACGTGGTATCGCCTCCTCCCACAACCACATCAACGTTACAACTAAACTACAGAACAACCATAATTCAAAACTGCCTGAAATCAAGCTGAATGGAAGTCCTACAACTACGAAATTAAAGAAGCAGCCACAACAAGACTGGTAGGAGGGGCGGAGGCAGACAGGCTGGTCCCACACTCACGTGTGGCAGATAAAAATCAGGAGGACACCTCGGCTGGGAAGGTCCTCCCTGAGGAGTGAGGGGTCCCCGTCCCACACCAGGTGCCCCGCTCAGGGTTCCAGTGCCAGGAAGAGAATCCCCATCACTTCTAGCTGTAAAAATCAGGGAACTGAGGTTCAGGGAGGCTGAGGCAGCTGGAGCCCCAGGCAGCTCCTCTTAAAGGGCCCAAGTACAAAATGAACAGGCAGAACAGAAACTTACTCAAACTTGCTCCCTCTCAGCTCAGAGGGGAGGCAGCTTGAGGGGCACCAGAGACACACAGGGAAAAACTGAACTGTTTGGCACTGGAGCGAGGGCTGGAGAGGGGGCTTTCTCCGGGACAAACGTGCTGTCAGAGGCCTTTGTTCCTTTGGTGAGCCCTTCCCTGGGGCGGCAGACAGTCACCATACCTGGGACTCCAGCAACCTGGCTCACTCTGGTAGCCCCGCCCTGGTGATTCCCTGAGGCCCCGCCCCACCCAACTTTCAGGCCCACCCAAGCTGTTACCAGTTGCTTTACCATAGGATTGACCTGTCTTGGATCTTGCTTCAGGTCTTCCTAAATTCTTTCAAACCACCAGCATCTGGTCTCAGCTAGCCCCATACCGCTCGTTAAGTAATACACAGAAACAAACACAGGGAGGCAGCCAAAATGAGGAGACAAAGAAACAGGTCCCAAATGAAAGAACAGAACAAAACTCCAGGAAAAGAACTAAGCGAAATGGAGATAAGCAACCTAACAGATGCTGAGTTCAAAACACTGTTTATAAGGATGCTCAATGAACTTAGTGAGAACCTCAGCACACATAGTGAGGGCCTCAAGAGCATAAAAAACAAACAAAAAAAACAGTCAGAAATGATGGATGCACAGTCAGAAATGAAGGAAGCACTAACTGAAATAAAGAATAATTTACACAGATTCAATAGTAGAGTAGGTAAAGCCAAGAAGCAAACCATCGATTTGGAATATAAAGGAAGCAAAAAATCACCCAATCAGAACAGAAAAAAAAAAAAATCCAAACAAATGAGGACAGTGTAAGGAGCCTCTGGGACAATTTCAAACGTGCCAACATTCGCATCTTGGGGGTGCCAGAAAGAGACGAGAGAGAACAAGAAATGGAAAAGCTATTTGAAACAATAATGGCAGGAAACTTCCCTAACTTGGTGAAGGAAACAGACATACAAGTCCAGGAAGCACAAAGAATCCCAAAAAAGATGAACCCCAAGAGGCCCACACCAAGACACATCATCATCAAAATGCAAAAGGTTCAAGACAAAGAGAGAATCTTAAAAGCAGCAAGAGAAAAGCAGTTAGTTACCTACAAGAGAGTTCCCTTGGCTTATTGAGAAATAAGACTGTCAACTGATTTCTCAAAAGAAACTTTGCAGGCCAGAAGGGAATGGCAAGAAATATTCAGAGTGATGAAAAGCAAGAACCTACGACCAAGATTACTCTATCCTGCAAAGCTGTCATTTAGAATTGATGGTCAGATAAAGAGTTTCCCAGACAAGGAAAAGCTAAAGGAGTTCATCACCACCAAACCAGTATTATATGAAATGATGACGGGTCTTTTTGAAGAAAAAGATAAAATATATAACAAACAAAATGGCAATCAATACATATCTATTGACAATGGAATCTACAAACAAAATGAACAGGCAGAACAGAAACATACTCATAGATACAGAGAACATTTTGTTGCTTGCAAGATGGGAGGGGGGTTTGGGGAATGGGTGAAAAAGGTGAAGGAATTAAGAAGTACAAATTGGTTGCTAGACTGACAAACCTCAAAGGAAAGAGGATTGGGGGGTGGGAAGAAATAAACCAAAGAACTTATATGCATAACCAATGGACACAGACAACAGTGTGGGGAAAGGCAGGAGGGGGGCAGGAGAGGGGAGGAGGGGGTCGATGGGGGAAAAATGAGGAACATCTGTAATACACTCAACAATAAAGATAAGTTAAAAAAAAAAAAAGAAAGACAATTGTTTTTAATTTTGCTGATGTCGAATATATTGATATTTTAAAATGGATTATGTTTTTAGAGTCATGTCTAAGAACTCTTCGCCAAGCCTTAGGTCTTAAAGATTTTCTCCTATCTACTAAAAATGTATAATTTTACATTTAAATTTGTGATTGATTTTGATAAGGTGTAGGGCTTAGTTCAAAGTTTATTTTTTTGCCTTTACATTTACAATTGTTCTCACTCTATTTTCTAAAATAGTTATTCCTCTTCCATTGAATTGCTTTTGCCTTTTTGTCAAAAATCAGTTGGCTGCCCTGGCCAGTTTGGCTCAGCGGTTAGAGTGTTGGCCTGCGGTCCAGAGAGACCCGAGTTCGGTTCCTGCTAAGGGCACGTACCTCGGTTGCAGTTTGTCCCCGGCCCTGGTTGGTTGTGCAGGTGGCAGCCATTCAATGTGTTCCTTTCACGTTGATGTTTCTCTCTTTCCCTCCCACTCTATCTGAACAAAGAATGGAAAAATGTCCTCGAGTGAGGATAAAAAAAAAAAATCAGTTGGCTGTAATTATGTGGGGCTATTTCTGGATTCAATATTCTGTTTCTTCTGTTTCATTGATCTGTGTGTTATGCCTTCACTAATATTACACTGTTCTGATTACTAGAGTTGTATTAAAAAAAACTGCTGGGATTTTGATGGGAATTATGTCAAAACCGTACATCAGTATAGGAAGAATTGTCAATTTTTTTTTTTTTGCGTGAATTGAAATGATTGTGTTTTTTTTCATTAGCATGCTAATATGGTCAATTACATTAAGGAATTTCTATTGTTTTACCTTTTTTTAAATTAATTAATTTATTTTAATTTTTTATTAATTAATTTTTGTTACAGATGCTTCTCCTTTCCCCCCACTGATTTCCCTCTCCCCCTCCCTCCCTACCCTTTCCCCAGTTTGTTGTCCATGTCCACTATTCACGCATACATGCCTATAAGTTCTGTGGTTTATCTCTTCCCCACCACCCCCCTATTTAGGGGATTGTCAGTCTGTACCCCGCTTCCACGTCTCTGGGACTACCCCATTCCTCAGACTGTTATGTTCATTATATTCCACAAATAAGTGAGATCATATGAAACTTGTCTTTCTCTGTTTGGCTTGTTTCACTTAGGATAATACTTTCCAAAGGATAGTAGTCTCAAAGGATAAGAGGTCTTTCTTACAGCTGCGTAGTACTCCATTGTGTATATGTACCACAGCTTTTTGATCCATTCATCTACTGATGAACACGTGGGCTATTTCCAGATCTTAGCTATTGTAAATAGTGCTGCTACAAACATGGAGGTACATATATTCTTTCTGATTGGTGTTTTAGGCTTCTTAGGGTATATTCCTAGAAGTGGGATCACTGGGTCAAATGGAAGTTCAATTTTTAATTTTTTGAGGTAACACCATATTGTTTTCCATAGTGGCTGCACCAGTCTGCATTCCCACCAGCAGTGTACTAGAGTCCCCTTTTCTCCACACCCTCGCCAACACTTGTTGTTTGATGATTTGTTGATGGCAGCAATTCTGACAGGTGTGAGGTGACACCTCATTGTTGTTTTAATTTGCGTCTCTCTGATGATTAGTGATGTTGAGCATTTCTTCATATGTCTCTTAGCCATTTGTATGTCCTGTTTGGAGAGATGTCTATTTAGTTACTCTGCCCATTTTTTTTTTTTTTTATCCTCACCCGAGGATATTTTTCCATTTTTTGTACAGATAGAGTGGGAGGGAGAGAGAGGAAGGGAGAGAGAGAGAGAAACATCGACGTGAAGGGACACATTGAGTGGCTGCCACCCGCATTACCAACCAGGGCTGGGGACAAACTGCAACCGAAGTACGTGCCCTTAGCGGGAACTGAACCCGGGTCTCTCTGGACCGCAGGCCGACGCTCTAACCGCTGAGCCGAACCGGCCAGGGTTCTCTGCTCATTTCTTAATTGGATTCTTTGTCTTCCTTTTGTGGAGTTGCATGAGCACTCTATATGTATTGGAAATTAACCCCTTATCTGATATATCATAGGTAATTATGCTCTCCCATACAGTGGGTACCCTTTCCGTTTTGATGATTGTATTTTTCGCTGTGCAGAAGCTTTTGAGTTTGCTGTAGTCCCATGTGTTCATTTTCTCCTTTGTTTCTATTGCCTTAGGTGATGTGTCAGTAAAAATTCTGCTGCGTATGATGTCTGAAATTTTGTTGCCTACAGTCTCTTCTAGGATTTTTATGGATTCATGAGTTACATTTAAGTCTT